CCCCAGTCTCCATGTTAGTCCCTATTAAACTGCAGGTTCCCTCTTGCACTTTCTGCACTGTGCACTTCCTTTCTTATTTTTGCTACTTAACAAGATATTTATGTAAATATAAGTGTTTACCTTTCCAATAAGCTTGCTCCTTCCTTCAAGTCTCATATTATCCTTTCCATGCTGTACTACACTATAGGCTCATTGCATGTACTTTAGCAAGGACTGCTAGCAGATCACATGCTAGCAGCGCACAAGACTAACATGGCAAACCCTGCCATATCACATGTGGAGGCATGGAGATAGTTTAACTCTTGGGAATGCACATCCCCAGAATCTAAGTCTTTAAAACTGTTTCGCAAGAAGAGCGGGAGCATGGCACCAGAGTAATAGGAAATTGCAGACTCTCCTGAAGCTAGGTTCTTAGCAAGAAACAAAACTTCGTACTCTTCAGCTTCTAGTCAATTTCCCTCTGCAGCAACACCAGTGTAAATGCTTCTGTGCTACATCTTGGTATGACTCTGTGCTCTTCTTTCATATATTACTTGAAAAAGAGGAGGCAGTCACTTTCTCTTGGCTATTTCTCTGTGGTGAGGATATGTGATTGGTAAAGAGGCTTTTGACATATTCATTCTAGTGCTTTTAAAAGAAACAGTTCCTCCTGATTAGAGGCTTTGAGATCCCAATTAACTAACATTTATGATTAGTAGTCAGTGTCTTGGCTATCTCGAAATAGTTTAATTCAAATGATTGACACCACCGTGAGTCCAGTTCCTGGTGAACAGGAGTACACATTACAAAAAACACCAACACAGTTAGTACTAATTGACCCTCTATTGGCAGTCTGTCTTTGGCCTCTCTGAGCTGTAGAGACGGAACACCCCTCTATCCTTTACAGATGGTCCCTTCAAATCAGGTTTGAGGCATGATAGGAAGGCAGTGTTGGGAAGCTGGCACTGCTGCTGCTTCTACTTTACCTGCTCTGTGGATAGAGAGGACATCCATTTCCAGGGCTCTCAATCTGAGAACTTCTCTGTGAATTCAGTTCAGTAGAGAAGAGATAGATGCAAAGGAAATGCTGATCTATATTATCCCTCCTGTTTCTGTGTTGCACTGTAGCTTGAGCGGTTGCACTGTAAAATACCATAAACATAACTATACCTGACATGTCTGTCGTCAGAGATAAGGTTTTACTAAGCAGTTCCCAATCTAGGCTTTTTAACTAGTTGTGCCTATGCTATGTGACTGACTAAAAGACCCTCAAACATCAATGTTTTTATTTTAACTTCAGCAAACAAAAGCATATACCATGTGTGAATAGATTTGTTTGGAACTTTACAGAGAGAGGTTGGATTGTGATCTTTTACATCATTTTAAAGCTGAGCTAACGCCATTGGATTCATGAGATTTATTCCAGATTTAGATGGATGTAACTGAGATCAGAATCTAATCCTTTAAATGTAGCCATCTTGAAGTGAGTATTTTGTTCCTGGAGTTATCAACTTCTGAAAACGTGGATGTCTAATGGAAGTGCTTACAGAATTGTAACTGTAGTGCTCAGAATGCAGCAGTGTCTAGTGCTTGCAGACTGTCAAGTGGCAGGGTCTAGAAGCTGCTGATGAGTTAGGAGTAACACTACCCCTTTATGTATAACTTCAAGTGGGGCTATTTATCTTGGACAGAAAGTGGAAAAGAAAAGAAAAATGAGTAATACTGATGCCTGTATGTTCTGGTCCTCTTTAGCTTTCCAGAACATGAATTCCAAAAGGAAAGCAGAAACGTGGAAGAGAAATAGACGTCAGTTGGTAAGTGCAGTCCCTCTGTCTACAGATGCTCACGGGTGAGCTCTGAGATGCAAGTGGGTTGGCTCTTTGATATTTAAAATGAACAGCATTTACACTGTGGCACTTTTCAAAACTCTCAGAACACTTCTCTGAAGTACTGTGAAAGATCTCTGCAGTTGGGCTTTAAAAAAGAAATAACTCATTTGTCCATCTGTAAAATTCTGGTGACTTTTACGCTTAAGATAGAGAACCAGCATGGCTTGATGCTTTTTCTGGTGCAATTATGGCTAAAACTAGCCAAGTTCTTAGCTATTTCCAATGTAACATTGCCTCTGGAGAGACTTCTAGCCCATACCCAAACTGTGATGCCTTAAGAGAAATGGACAAAGCAGATGGAGGTGCGTAGTGGTGATTTTACCGTGCAGATTTCATAAACAATAACATCTGCCAAAGTCTAGCTGGATCTGGCAGAGAAACTCCATGATTAGATTTGTATCTATCGCATGTTACTTGGCTCATGTTCATCTCTAGCATTAACACTGCCAAGTCTCCATTGTGAACTAGGGCTATGCTACAATTTGTATTGCCGTTGTTGGTCACTGTCTAGCCTTGTTGTATCCTTAGGGGATGGAGGAACAGCTTCCTACAAAGACTTTTAAACAGTATTATTTATCACTTTCTTAATCTCTCTTAAAATGTTTCTAAAAGTCTATCTTCTCTAAAAATAGAGCTGCAGTATTTAAATAGGTTTTATTCCCTTCCCCTACAATAGTGTTTTTTTTCACTGCTGTCACTTTAATGGTATCTTGATAGCATGTGGGATCTTATTTAAAAAAAAATTATCTTTTGGTTTGAATAAGTTGTCTGTGAGGGTTCTGTTCAAGCCCTCTGGTTCTGCGAAGATTTCTCAGTTACCCGTTAGTCAGACGGGATCTCTCTCAAAATGTGTAACTGAAGCCATTCAATTTCAGGCCTTTTCCACTGTGGGAACTCCAGATTACATCGCTCCTGAAGTCTTCATGCAGACGGGTTACAACAAGCTTTGTGATTGGTGGTCACTTGGGGTCATCATGTACGAGATGTTAATTGGTAAGAAACTAGCAATGCACAAACCTAGAGTATATGTTAAATTCATATTACATAATAGCAGAGTCAAAGTTCACTTTTTCATGGCTTCGTTTACCTTTTGTTGGCACACCTTCACACTTGGTGCCCATTTTCACGTTAAGCAATTTTCTCCAGTTTGCTGTTCACCTGCATTTTTTTAAACTTCTGTCTTGTAACCCAAATGGAGTTATTGCTGTTCTCTTCCCCCCGCCAAGTGGCTTCAAATTAGTTCAATTTAAGCTTCTGCAATGAAGTAAAGAGTAATTTGTGATTACCAGAGTGTATTTTCTCTTTCAGGTTATCCCCCTTTCTGTTCTGAGACCCCTCAAGAAACCTATAAGAAAGTGATGAACTGGAAAGAGACTCTGATCTTCCCCCCAGAAGTTCCAATCTCTGAGAAAGCAAAGGATCTTATTCTAAGGTACCAGTCAGTCAATTGCTGCAGCTGACCAAGCTTGTCATGTGGTGCCACTTGTTACATGTCATGAATTTTCTCATCCTACAAACTGTATGAAACACCTCTCTTACAACTTGCCTAACGAGACAGCTGGTGCTTCGAAGTTTAAGGTGGTGCATTTGTCACACTTATGTATTGACTAGGAAGATCGCTAATCAAATATCCTCTCATCAAATTAATGGTGGTTCACTGTCATTTAAATTGGGAGCCCTTAAAGAGCTGCATTAATGGGGATTCTTGTAAAATCTTATGTTTGGGAGCACCTCATCTCGTAGCTTTTTTGCCTCCTACATGTCTTTGTCCCCCATTTCCTGTGCCTCTGAATTCTTCAGAAATTGAATCTCCACTTGAAGGAAACACAGAATGAGAATGTTGAGTTGTGTTAACTGGCTGTATGGACGCTTTCTGTTTATATTGGCAAAGGATGTCCTTGAAATAGGCTTACGCTTGTTAGGACAGCAGGTTAGAATTGCTGGCTTTCCATCCGATGTATTTGAAACGCTTCTCATGAGTGCTCTAAATTCCTTTTGGAATTGAATAGTTTATCCAAACAAACTCCTGTCTGAAATAAGGGTTACCACTTTGCTTCCACATAACAGCCTTAAGGCAGATATGTATTATCTCCCCATCAGCCTTTATGCTTTCCACAAGAAGCAGTCGCCAATCCAGAAACATTTCATCCTTGTCTAAACCAAGGCAAACATACACACTAAAACTCAGACTCAGTTCAGGGAATAAATTCCCTACAAACCTCCTTGGAAGTGGCTCGAAATGTTTTCCAGACCCACTGTTGTAACACAACAGGTAAGTAAGTGTGTCTGACACTGTTTGTGTGTAGAGTTTGATTTATAAACATATTCCGTAGACACTGAGCTGGGCTTGGGAAAGAGAATATGCAATCATTTTGCTCTTTAGTCTTAACTATGTAGATGATGTTTCTGATAAGTTTTTAATCTGGTCTCAATACAAAAGTACGTATTTCCTACGTACGTGCTTTGTGTGTACTTTTGCCCTCTGCTGGTCCTGGATGAAAGGGCATATTCTTGAATGTAAATTCCCTATATTCTGTCACAGCCTTAGCATTCCTTAGCATAGTTTGTGTATTACTTTTTTAAAATAAGAGCTCTTATCATTATCTTTCAGTTACAATTTCTTACATGTAAATACTAGCTTCAGTTTAAAATGACTCACTGTCTCTAAATATAACACTTCACTATTTTCATGCTTCCTTTCACAGATTTTGCTGTGAATGGGAGCACAGAATTGGTGCACCTGGTGTCGAAGAAATCAAGGGTAACCCCTTCTTTGAAGGGGTTGACTGGGAGCATATCAGGTAGGACATTGCCAGACACTTCAGCATCCTTACAGAAAGCTAGTCCTTGTTTAATTTTCCAGTCCAGTGGTCTAATTACATTAGACTGTTAAGTTTGTCAGAAGTGCTGCTACAGTAAAAACTTGCCTGTGATGGTAAAATGAGCAGCTCTGACTTGAATACGCAGGGAACCAGGCCTGTGCAATAACCAGGCCTGCGTGGCTGTGATGAAGTTCAGATCCTGATCGGAACTTCTCTGAGGTTCAAGCATATCCTGGTCAAGACTTTTGTTTTGAGTCCCTATAGAAATGGAATGTATTCATTGCCTGCCTTAAAACCTAATATTGAGAATGTTGCTCTTGGCAGAGAGAGACCTGCTGCAATATCAATAGAAATTAAAAGCATTGATGACACCTCAAACTTCGACGAATTTCCAGAATCGGATATCCTTAAACCAACAGGTAAATATCGCCTTCTTGTCACTATTTTACATATAATGATAATGCAGAGTTTACTTTAACAGGAATCCTACAAGTCTGTCTTGATAGCAAGTTCGGGATAAGAATCCTTAATCATCTAATACTTAAGGGGAATTCTGAATGGTAAATTTTACAAACTGTGGTTCCAATTCTGCAAGTCCTTTGTGCACGGAACTTCCATTGACATCGCAGGGCAGCAAGGGACTCTGTATTTTGCTGCAATATCTAGATGTAAGGGGATTTGAGGGCACTTTCAGATGTAAACCCACAAACTAAAGTGAAACTCAGAACTTTCTCCCTCTCAGTCTTCCTCACTTGACTAGTGTAATACGTTCTGTGGTAGCATTAAAGCCAAAAATCCCTCATGGAAGTGCCATTGATAACCTTACCTGAGTTTTTCATATAAATGTGTTTATAAAGAAAATGTTCATCTTTTATTGTACAAATAAGACCATGATGGTTCCTCTGGTGTTACGCATGACTGCCATGGAAATGTATAGTTGGGATGTGGCAGTGCTTCTCAGGGCACAGCCGTGAGATTTAATATGTGTAATTTTATAACGTTCTCCAATGTCATGGTGAAAATGGGTCTGCTTTAATCAATGAATGGCTATTCCACCATGTGTTTCATAATGACCGCTTTTATGTCAAGGCCTGTTTGAGCATTTGTTAGCAAGTGGATTTTTTAACACACCGTAGACTGTAACGACTCCCTTTTTTCTAGAACTGAAGAATAAAACTGGGAAACAGAATTTTCCCAACCAGAAGTTGTATAATTTCTTTAAAACTAAAAGACTGAGTCCAGTGTCATGTCAGTATATTGAGTACAGTTTAATATCTGAAGAAGTTAACACTTGTGTCACTTTGTCTTTCAGTGGCCACAAGTAACCATCCAGAGACTGACTACAAGAACAAAGACTGGGTCTTCATCAATTACACCTACAAACGATTTGAGGGGCTGACAGCCCGAGGGGCAATCCCATCCTATATGAAAGCAGGAAAGTAGTGAACTGTGACCTGAGACTATTTCTGAGCCTTGGATCTTGTTTCTCTGTACTGGGTTTATGCCCTTAAAACAATTTACCTGAGGGCTATGAACTCTTTTTGAAAAGTTTTTCAGGACACAATATATTACACACCATTGTTATTTACTTGGATTTGTTTCTTCCACTCCACTGAAAACTTCCATGAAACTCTATTACCTCTGATGCAGGCAGATATTTTTTTGCTGCTTCAGGAGCAAGCCTGTCTCTGTTTTCACATTGAATTCCTTGCTAGACTGTTCAGTAGAGGAGGAGAGAGAGAGGAAGAGCGCCTTTACTTTCTAACATCACAAAGCATATGGTATTTACAAAATATTTCACCAGTCCTGCAATGAGCGATATACTCAGTCTGCCAGTTCTGCCAGCACTGTTTTCCTAATGGCTAAGAACTGTAGCACAGAGGAAATAAAGCAATAATTAAAGCTTGAGATAGACAAAACTGTCCAGTAAATTATCTAGTAGATGAACAAAACTTGTATTGCCTTAACCGTAGTTTGTAGTGCTATTTTTTTATAACTCAGAAGCCTCTTTAATAGCATTTTTCAGCTCAATCAGTAGCCTCAAGTTGTGGTGCACTTTACTTTTGGTACTAAGACAATGACCCTCAAGCCATTAAATATTTTTCTAAATTAAAATTGTGTAACACTTTTTTGCTTTTTCTGAGCAGTGACAGGAGAAACAGGCCACTCATCCTGGTAGAACTTACTCCATGGAAGCCAACAGTTTCCAACTGTTGTATTGAAGAACCTCCACGCAAACAAATGGCTATTGTAGATTATTAGTAAACTAGCCAATAACAAGAGCTGACCTAGAAAAGGAGTGGGGGCATAGGAAGGGGAGGGAGGGAAATCCATTTATCCTGATTGCTGATGGGCCTCCTATGTATAATAGGACAGGCCATGGGGTTTTCTGTTCTTGTTGCTGCCATCTCTTGGCCGCTTGTAAAATCTGCCAGCCTTGATCAGTTTCAAAGATGATGATATTACTTGCTAGTGGCATGGGGTAGTGTCAAGCAGGAAGATATGGCAAAACGTGTGAAATTCTGCCTAGGGCTCCTCCTACAAACCCTTATTCACAGTGGCCTTCCCATCCTCTACTTAGTATTTCAAAGTTTCTCTCAGTACCATGGCTAAAACCTCTGTACTCAGAGTCTTCCAAGGGGGTCTGAAAATTCTGGTACATGGGTCCTGCCATTTCTCTCTTTGACTAATTATTGCCTAATGTAGTTTATGAAAGTGTATTCCTTTATAATCAGGATGCTCTCCATGAGAGCCCCAAAGTGCCTTCCCTTGCCTAAGCACCTCTTGGAGCTGGATCAAATTAATTTGGAGGATTCTTTATCAGCTGAGCTCTTGATAATTCCTTTCCATGTGCAGGAACACCACTTAGCTACAAAATAGGTGCAATCAGTGCATTCCTAGTGGCATGTGAAATAAACAGATCCACCCCCCCCCCTTGTGGTGCTGGTCTTTAGTGTGTCACTAGATTTTAAATTAACGAGATTTTTAACAAGTGCATATCAGTTTGAACAGTTTAAATTCCTGCTACATTATATTTTTGGTGCTGAACGCTAAAAATACCTAGCATCTAAAAAGACTGTGTTTTTTTTTTTTTTTTTTTAAAGCTAGATCAGTGTGTCAAGATGACCTGGTGGCTATGGTTTGTATTTAGCCCTAGCTTTCTAGGCTAACAAAGGGAAGAATCTGATTGTAATATAATAATTTTTTTAATGGCTGCATTAGGGAATATTCCACTAAATGTCTTTTGGATTAAAGTGTCACAGAGTAAATGTTGAATGAAGGATTAATTTGAGTGCAAATACTGTACATAACAGAAAGACTGATTAAGATTGTGGGTGACAACTTGTTAACATCCTCTCCCTAAATGCCATAACTGAGACCATCCAGAAACCCTGAATCTGTGCTGTTGTATTTCTGCGTAGTAGGAATTGGTTCAGTGCATTGCTGTAAACAGTTTAAATGCTAAATTCTGCCAATCCTAAATTCAAGAGTAGTTTTTACTCTGACAACAGTGATCTTTGGGCCCATGGGATTATTCATAGGACTACTTAAGCAAAGTAAAATAAAGATCAGGGTCTTTATTTGCTAGCCAGCAAAGCATCCTTTTATACTATTTATAGTGTTTGTTTGTTTGTTTTTTAAATCAAGGACTGATCATTACATTTTAGATGTGGTAAAATTGCTCTGTCACCCACATTTGAAAATGTTGCCTTATAAGCCATTGGAAAGTTAAGAGCTCTTGGCATTTTTAACTATTGAAAATTGTTTTGCAATTCTTGCTTGCTTAAAATGTGAAGATCAAAACCCTTTTGAAGCTGTTACGGTTTCGGAGTAAAAGGTTTTGAGACAGCAGCTGCATTATTAACCCTTTAATAAAAGGGACTGGTGTTTTTTACAAATTCCAAAGAACAAGGGAGAGAATTATACAATTATAGCTTGTAGGGGTTCTGTGAAAGTCTATAAACAATACCTTGTTATGGAAATCTCTAGTGCACATGTGATTTCTGAATGCCTTCTGACCCCACACTCAGATTGTCCAGTTGGGTGTTGTATATTATCGTCCTTGAGTTAAAAAGTGAAGATCTTCAAAGGCACAAGTGGCTCTTAAGAACTTTCAACTTTCAATGGGAATTAGTGCCTTTGAAAATCTCCCCCTAAATGTGAAACCTGTCAGTCATCCCTTCTAAGTGGCAATTTTTCCTTTACAGCAGATGCATCATAAGTCTGCCTTTTCCTACAGGTATTTTTGTCAACACTAGAAAAACAGTACTGTGTATTATTTCCACGATCCACACTTCACTGCTATCAGAATAAGATTTTTGTACTTTTTTTCTAGATATGCTAGCCAAACATTTTTATTAAGTTAACAAGTTACCAGCCTTGTCTATGTGCTCATTAGCTGATAAATGGAGGTAATTAGGAATGCCTTGTGGTTTTTTGTTTAAAGCTACAAACAGATGAAGGTTGCAAGGAGTGGGTCTGGTTCTTTTCCAGCTAGACCTGCAGGAGAAACTAATTCCAATCTTAAACTTCCTAATGGGTGTGACTGTAAGTTATGCTGCCAGTTCCTCTCTTCATATTATGCCTAGCACAAAACTGCACTTAGGTGCCACTTACTATCACTGTGCCCTGACTCTGCCTTAAACTGTCAATTGAAAAAGCGTTTTGTAAATACATGATGTTATTACTAAATCGCATTGTAAAATTTGGCAAACTTGTTCTGTGAGATGCTGGGGTCTCAGCATGAGGGAACCCAACTTATTTTTATGGAATGATCTTTACGTTCCCCTCAGCTGTGTAAATAAATAAATCCTCTTCTGTCGATGTAGTTTTGCTGCTGTGTTTTGTTTTTACAAAGGGGAATGTCTCTTGCTGATATTTACACTTTTTTATATGAAAATAGCAATTACTTTTGAGAGTAGGGTCCTTCACCGAAGTACACTGGCTTAGATATTGACTGGCATTTTAGCCCACAACAACAATGGATTTGATGATGGAAGTGTCTAATTTAAAAAAAAAAAAAAGACTGAGGATTGTTCCTTATGTGCATTCTACTTTTGCCCAAATGAATAAGGTGTTGCAGGTGAAAGAAATATGGTCTCTTCTCATAGTCAAATGTTCTGAAAAAGAACATACCTCTGTCTTTATAGAGTGCCATAAATGTGAATTGCCCTGGACAGACCGAAGGCAGTGTCTGCTCTCAGTTGCTAAAGGCTGCAATTGTGTGATACATCACTGAGCTCAGCTTACTAACTTCATCTTGGCCGTTTGCAACAGCTGGCCGTATGTATGAGGCATAATAGCACAAGAGATTATAATAAACCCTGGTACTAGGCTGATGGGAAGACAAAGGTCATGACCATGAGATCATGTAGCTGTATGATGGGGTGTACAAACCCCACACTGGGCAACATGGGGTTAAGGGATTATTTGGGTTTTAGCCACTCTTCTCTCTCTCCTTCTCCCCCCCCCCCCCCCTCGCAGCAAATGCTCCATCTGCTGGAGGAATTGAGATCGGGAATTAGCTCATTTGGGTGACAGAGCTGGAGGTGAGCAGAGCTGCAGCCCACAGCTCCAGCACTGCAGGGCAGAGGAAGCCTAAGGCTCTGACACAACTGCCCAAAGGGGCCCTTCTTGAGGGAAGAAAGGACGCACCCCAGAGACAACCTGCGAGGGGAAGTATCCTGTGGACCTTGGACATTGGTAACCCCCTCTTACTTATTGTGATTTGGGTTTCCCCACGAGGGGAAAGTCTTGGACTAAGATGATGCGGGGGTGAGGAGGGAATGAGAGGAAGAGGCCCAGGGAGGACCCCCTTAAGCAGCCTTGGTTGCTAGACCACAGGTAGCCCAAAGGGCCCTGGGTTGGAGCCCAGTGGAGTGGGAAGGCTTGGGCTCTTCCCACAACTCCCTTGGCAGTCAGGAGTTGTGGCCTTGCGTACTAGGCCATGCTCCCCAACCAGACCCTGACTGAGAATTGTTACAAGCTGCTTTGGTGAGGAACATGTGACATTCTTGATTTGTTAAGGTTCTGGGCCAGATCTTCAGCTGGTGTAAATCAGATTACTTCTGCTGATTTCAATGGAGCTACATCAGTTCACACCAGCTGAGGATGTGTGTAAAGGGAAAGTGTAGGGTTTATAGTTGCTGTAGGGTAGGGCTGGGGATCAAGAAGGAGAGAAGTGGTTTGGTAAAAAGAGGGTTACATTTAGGGAGGCGGGAGTGCTGTGTGGAGACAGGAATAGGAGAATAAATGGCTCAGTATTTTATAAGGGGTGAGGGATGACATGATGGCGGCTTTGGTGGTGTGAGTGAAGATTAGACTCATTTCCTACCACACTGTGGCATGCCACAGCCAGCTGGTAGTTCAGACCCCAACACATAATGTTTTTATCCAGTCTGCTTTTGAGCACAGGATCAGACTTGCCAAAGCACACAGCCCTGGGCCAATATCTGATCATCACTTACATCTATAACTCCACTTAATAGGGTTTGGGATTCCTAAAGCTCTGTTTGTTTACAAATGCCTTAACCCCAGATCAAGTTGCAATAAGCTAGAATGCAGTAGATGGGTGGATGGTTACTGGATTTAACTTAAAATTGTGCTTTATGTTCTTTTAATTTTTTTACAAATTATCTAGGACTTTAAAATACCTTCTTAGACCATGAGGGCCAGCTTAGATGCAGAGTGATTACTAAATGATGACGGGTATTCACTGCTCTTACTGGATCTAATTAAAGATGGCTTCAGGGCCATATTTGCCTGTTTGTACAAATCACTCCTAGTCCCAGAAACCTGGTGGCATTTGTCAGGGGATAGCAGTAATGTCAGTCTCTTACCCAGGCCACTTTGCCACTTAGTTTAATTTTACCACTCGGTAATATCAATAACATTTTTTTTCAGAAGTTCCCTTGAGGCAGACTGGCTGTGACTCTTGCTTCTTTATGGAAGCTTCCATAATTGCCATCAACTTGATAAGCAGCTGCTAGCTCTTCAGCCTAGGAACCTATAAATGGGCCTGTCTTTGACTGCCTAAGATCACCCACCATGTCAGAGCATGGATGGAATTCAGGTCACCTGCCTCCCAATCCACTGTCTCTTCCAGTGGGCTGATACCTGCCCCTATGCAGGGCTGGGAGCTAACTCAATGTACTTTGAGATCCTCCGCTAGAAGATGCCATAGAAACAAGGACTGTTAAGATAGCCTTTTGTAGCTCCAGGTTTGAGTCAGAAGCTGGTCCTGGTTTCATCTTAAGTTCTAAGGCATTCTTAGGAATGAATGAACATACATTTCCTCCCCCCGCCCGTCCCAAATTAAAAAGAAAATTCAATGAATCAGATTCGTGCGGGCCGTATTTATGAAACTCATGGGACTTTTGTTTTACACTGACAGAAATTATTGCTCATGAAGATGAAGAACCCTGAGCCTTCCCAGCATTGTTCAAGCTTCCCCACCCAGCCAACAGCCTTTAGTGCTAGCCTCCACCGTACCCAGCCAGAGGCATTCAATGGCTGATTATTATGCCAAATAGTTAGTCTTGTACACAAGAGGCAGCCAACAGCACTGACCAAAACCAGGAATAATGACTACTGAAGGGTGAGTAAAATCTGTCATAATCCTTTGTAATAACTCCCCTTCCAGATTCTGCAGTAACCTTATTTTTTTTCCCCAGGCTACACTTACAGCAACAGAACAGCTGTAGCCATATTGAGTGGTGCTACCTGTCTAGATCTAGTAGTATTTTAAAACTTTTTGGTGGTAACCACAGGCTGGCACGACACCTACAAAACACTTGACGATGGTTAGACAACTCACTGCTCCGCTGCTCTCATACTCTACAAGCGCTTTGTGTAAGGGGCCGTCTCTGTTGTGTGTGTATAGGGTCTAGCACAATGGGGTGTTGATCCCAGTATGGAGCCTATACGGTCTATTCTAAGTAAATTATCACATGGCTCAGTGGTAACCCCTGAAATGTGTGCAGAGATGACCTTTTGCATGTGAACTTAACCCTTGCTGTATGCATAGGGAAGGAGCTGCACCTGTTATAGGATGCTAGGGCTGGAGGGTCAAGGGCAATCAGGACTGCAGTTCTTGTTTATTAGACTTTGCCACATCCCCAGGAAGGCACCTAGGGCTAGAAAAAAGGGTGTACGGCGTTTAAATGGCAGAGGGAAAGCACGCAGGAGTTCAGTTTTTTTTCCTTTAGTGGGTCAGACCATCTGAGCGCCACTCCTTTATTTCACTCCCTGTTGTATGTACAGTTGGAACTGAGCCGCAGTGGGGGGGCTGCTTGGATTGTGGGGTGTTAGGTACAGTTCTTTATGGAACGACCAGGCCTGCTGTGAAACTTGAGTCGGCATTCAAATTTAGGCCAGGCTCGGGCTATTCTGACCTACACTCTGAAAATCAGGTCCCTTTAAGTTGTCATGGTGGGCCCCCAAGAACTGAGAGCCCCAAGATCACTAGCCCTTTCTGAAAATCTTAGCCACCACTTATACCAGCATTAAATGAGCTGACATTTAAAGCTGGTGCATTAGCATCTTACTGTGTAACTTGTTATAGCCAACTGAGCCTACAATTGCATGAGAGATTTAAAGGGGCCTGACACCTGCAAACGTTTGTGCTAGATGAACCAACGGCATTAATCCCAAAATCAGAAGTTGAATTTCACTAGCTGTCTGAGCCCTTCAATCTGCCAGGGAAGGATGAGATTTCATCACTACTCAGTGACAATCCTGGCCTGTCTTTGAAAAGACTCTCAAACCCTGCCCCTTGAGAGCTTAGCCTGGGAAACTCTCTTTAAACAGATGTGACCTAGCAGTAATGATTGGCTGCTAAGGGTAAGTGCTGCATGGCGGACAAAGTTCAGTTCCTGGGTCCCAGCTCTTGAGAAGGGCAAGGGCAGCTTAGCCCCTGGAGCAAAGGAAGGTCCCCTCCTGTTACCCACACAGGCTAAGGCAGGGGTCAGCAACCTTTCAGAGGTGGTGTGCCGAGTCTTCATTTATTCACTCTAATGTAAGGTTTCGCCTGCCAGTAATACATCTTAACATTTTTAGAAGGTCTCTTTCTAGAAGTCTATAATATATAACTAAACTATTATTGTATGTAAGGTAAATAAGGTTTTTAAAATGTTTAAGAAGCTTCATTCAAAATTAAATTAAAATGCAGAGCCCCCCAGACCAGTGGCCAGGACCCAGGCAGGGTGAGTGCCACTGAAAATCAGCTTGTGTGCTGCCTTAGGCACACATGCCATAGGTTGCCTACCCTGGGCTAAGGCCTTCCACTGACAGGCTCCATAAGTTCATTCAATCTTCCTTGGCTAGGACAACAGTGGTTACAACATGGGGCTCTGAGGGTAAAGCAGAGGAAAATGGGGGGGGGGGTGTCTCTTCAGGGCTGTATAAAGGGTGAGCGGGATCTTAAGGAGCGAAAGGATGTGCTTTCTCCTGACAGTTCTGTTCAAGGGACTCAGGAAAGCTGCAGGCTTGATGGACAGCTCGGTCATTCAAAATTCCCTTTCTGCTTACTAGAGAAAACAGAGGCTGCATGTAAATTATAACACTTTATTACAGAAAAGAAACCTTACAACTGCAGGATCCTGTAAACACCATGAATAACACTGAACCAAATATAAAACATAAGAAACAAGTTGCTCTTGTACCTGAACGCTCAGTGACAGTCAATGTCACCATTTACTTAGTTTAAAACTGTTCCAGTGGAATTCGCTTTAGAACATTCTAAATATTTAATTAGCTACAAAACCGGATCTGGTAACCGACACAATTGTGGGTGAACAGAATGGTTTATGTAAATCCTTTAATTAGCTGTATTCCATACTCCTAACACACTAGGACCGGATTGTACGAAGTGCTGAGGGCCCTCAACACCCACTGAATCTAAAAGGGTCTGACCTTGTGAAAGGTGTTCAGGTGCCCAGGGCTCAGCTCCAATACTCCAATGCAGACAAGGGGATTTGAGGGCACTGTGTGTGTGTACAGAAATATGTAAACTCAAATTCCAGACCAGCTATTCACTATATCTAGTTTACTTAAAACTGAAGGTGGTGCAGAAATAGACAGACAACATACAACCCATAAGGCCAAACTGCAAGCCCTGGAATCTCACTGGTGAGTACTCCCAGTGAAGTCATGTGAGCACCTCCCTCCAACCTGAGGAAAGGGCTCTATCGGGCCTTCCAGGAAGCAGATTTTTTTTCACATGCCATGTAAAGTCTTCCAGTATTTAACAAAAATTAAAACTAACAGTAGAAAGTGATTGCATAAAATGTCTATTGACCTGCCAGCAAATGGTTAAGGACACTTTTCTGTCCTGCCCTAAAGAGTTAGGAGGAGCTTTTCAAAAGCACCTAAAGGGATTTAGGAGCACACAGCCTAGTGACTTTCAGTAGGCAGTTTTGAAAATCTCCTTCCCTTAGGCACTTGTAAGGAGAGGAAATCTGTTTGCTGTTCTTTTGAGGCCAAGAAAGCGCCACTGCAAATATGGGAACCTAGGCTCACAGATACAAATAGGAACTAGATACACATCAGCAAGTATTTGTCCCTTTTTAAATTAAAGCAGCATTTGTAAATTCATAAGACAATTTGTGCTTAATATTATCAAGATAAATATGGCGAGAAAAAAATACACAATATACCTTTAGCAGCAAGAGAGTCTAGTTTACAATCTGCAAACAGAGGGAAAATATGCTTGGAAAAATGCTTTGCTTTTTGGGGGAGAAGAGAAAAGAAGCAATGCTAAAAGTGGATATGTATTTTAGGGGCTGATTTTAAGGAACTGGGCTCTGTTTTTGTAGGCAGGCAGATGTGTAAGTGGTATGAGTTTCAACCACAATTAACTGCAGGTGTAGTTATTTGGAGGGGGAGAACTGAACATTTGCACCCTTTAAAAAAAAATTAGGACTTCAGACTGGACTGGCTGCAACCATGTTTGAACACGGTCATGGCTAGTATGTTCCTGTATCCAGTCTGAACTGGGCCTTTAGCGCACATGCCAAGTCAGGAGAAGCAGGAAATATTTTCTCTCAGCTGTAGATTTACTTCCTTACAAAGCTGTGCTTACTGTGAATATATAAAATGCTGCTAAAATTCGCCCCCCTCTATCTTTTGCCTGTTTGACAGAATAAAATTACCCAAATCAGTTGTAAACTGGAAGGAAGGAGTTTGCCTTGAAATCTGCCCAGCAGCCCAAATTCTGCAAGCGGATGTGCGTGGGGTGCCCCTATTGAAGCCAATGGGAATTTTGAACCAATAGCTGCAGCAATTATAAAAGAGGAAGACAAAACTACCTCCAGGTTCTGCCAAGGTAAATTCAGTTTGCATGGCTGTGCTGAGAGACTCTGGCTTAGCATGCATGTGCAGCAAGAAACGGTGATTCTTCGGCTATGGAGCCATCACTAAAGGAGCTTCACACATTTAACAGGCTAAGTCAGACCGCTTTATTTGGTAAAATATTATCTAGATTTGTTTTCATTCCACACCACTTTCTACTCTGGTTAAGCTCAACAGCACAACCTTGTCCTTAATAAAAAGAGGTGATTCTGACGTGCACAGAACTGTAAAGGAGCACGGGCCTGTGACCAGCCGAATGCTCCTTGTTAAACCAGCTCCACCTTTCTAGAGTACAGCAGTATACATGCTGGATGCAAAGCCTACTGGTGGTGCAGACAGATTCCTTCACTCCTGGGATTTTACTGACACAACGGTGTCACATCTGCGCTTGGAGGGAAAAGTGGAATCTGTCTCGCGGTGCTGGTTGGTCCCTTTGTAACTGAGTGATTATCGTTAAAACAAAGGCAAACGCCTACAATACAATTCTCTCTTGATGCTAATATTCATGGAATTCCCCTTCTCACGCTGAACAATAATTTTCTTTAAAACACTTCTGTTCTTTCACAGGTTCAGGTAAAGCTCAACCACCACCAATCCACGTGGGCACAGGCACCTGGGGAAATCTCAAAGCCTCCGGCTGCGAAGAGCTTCCATCCCTTCCTTCTCAAGGAGACTGTGCTTGCAATTGCACCGTTAGATTTAGGGACCAGAGCTCATTATTAACATGCTTGAAATATTCCACTATAATAAGAGCGACTACAAGGATAAAACACCTTGCAAGAGAGCATGTCCCATGTCCTGGGATGAAACGATGCTGAGAAATTTCCCAATACAGGAAAGCCGCAGACCCCTTAGTCTGTACTAATCCGGAAGATTGTTAGGAGCCATTTGTGAGAATGGTGCATTTAATCTATCGAGTTCGTCTACCTGGGGTGGATGATGCATCAGAAGTTCCTGGTCTTCTGAAACATCCTCGCCTACTGCCATCAGGTTTGTTAGAGATTTGCTTCTAACACACTGGAAGTCGACGTGACGGCTCTTTCCTTCTTCCTTTTCCCAAGACATCTGGATGAACGGCCGTTGCACATAGTTGTATATAACTTCTGACCGGCCTCCGGGTCTCCTCTTGACCTTCTCTTTACATGTGGGATAACCTGAAGCACAATCAGCCCGTCAGTTTCAATCCACCCCTTGCATGCATCACAGCACTGCTCAAACAAAAGGAACCCTAAAGAACAAGTTATGGCCCGGCAAGAATACTGGGTAGAGCTGGGACAACACCTCTAGCACTAGGTGGAAAAGTGCTCTCATTCCACATTTAGACCCTGTAAAAATAAACTAGGACTATAGTACAGAGTTTGATTCTGGCAGTAGTGGTGTTGGTGTCCAAACCAATTGTTCTCCCTTTTTATTTAAGGTTTCTGTTGTTGTTTAGCAAATAAAATTTACCTTCAATGCCGATTCGAATATTTTTCAGCCCACGCTCCTTTAAGACAGTTTTTGCAACATCACGGTTCTCGATGTACTTGAAGAATCTGTACAGCTTGGAACTGTAAAGAACTTGAGAAACAAAATGATTCATTAGTCACTACAAGACATGCATCTCCACCTAGCATTTGGCATAATTGGTATGGGCTGGGATATTTATCCTGTGATGCCTGTGGGCAGCGCTTTGCAGTCTGGGTGCTGGAAAAGTCAGCCTTGGTGTTTCAGAACTACTTTTAATACCTATCATCAGGCACCAGAAGAGCCCAAATTCCTTGGTGATGTGGGTGGGTAAAAATGGGTCTGGAAACAGCTAAGTGATAAATTCATGTAACTTGCACCAATCTACCATTCAGTGGCTGGGTAAAACGAATACAACTCACTCTTTGGGAGGAAGGTGCAGAAGGAGTTTTTTACAGGAAATGCAAATTAAGAAAAGGATGCAAGTTAGTGTGTGTGTGTGTGTGTGTGTGTGTGGTCTTATCTTTTCACTAGTTCTATCCTCTCATTGTTTGTTATATTCATTTTCCAAACCCAGTGAATATTGCATCTTCTCTAGTGAATCTGTCCCCAAGACTTTTCTGTAAGTAGCATCTTCTTGCATCAGGGTGCAGCAGTGTGTCTCAAGCAAAAACAACAACCCATCGCATCTTCAAACATGGTTGGTTGGCAGCTGCTCTCTCCCTGTAACTATAGGGTGTTGGATATCACTGACCATTTGCCAGTTTTTAGTGTTGGTAAATGGAACAAATCTGGTCTAGCCGCTCTATCCAGGAAACATGAATGTTTTGTGCCTTTGTTTGACTAAAATGTTATCTCAAGCAAGGACGATGCAACTTCCATTACTAAAGAGGGCCTTTGTCCCCACGCTAGGGAAAATGGTCAGCTACACAATAGCTTCCTTTAAACTTGGATCCATTTACCTTATAATTACCCTTCCTTAGTATTGCTGACTAGAATGTTATTCTTATCAAGCAGATTATTTCTCTTTTCTACATTGCAGCTCATCTGCTCTTTGTTCTCAAGTCATTATTCTAAACCTGAGACCACACTGCCGGCTCCCTTCTATCAGGCTATAATGTCACAGAAACAAGATTGTTTTCTGTAGGATTAAGTAGAAGAGGCCTGATCCTAGGAGGTGGGAGGGCCCTTAGCACCTACAGGAGAAGACAAGCTAGTAAGAAAGGACACACTTATTCCAACGCCAATATTTATGAGAGCAATCCTGCAGTCAAAACTCCCATTAATATCAATATGAATCTTAAGTGAAGGAAGGATACATGATTGGGTCCACTGACAAAAGTAGAGGAAATAATATTATTTTCTATGAATGTTCTCTTTTTTGAGGTTTGCTCCAATATGAAAGTCTCTGTTTGAAGCCAGAAATCTAATAGCAGAGCCAAACAACCAAGCTTTATTCGGTTATTCTGCTTTCTATATGTTCACAGAACTCCTACAGATACTGACAGCTAAAGGTTGGAATCCAGATCTGCCATATGGCTTATACAGAAACGTGCTACCTGACCCTGTTGTCACTAAACACTTAGCCATGCTGATATTAATGGGACAATTGTGCTTTAAAATAAATATTTTTACAAGTTTTTGATGAAATCTCTCACTCTATGGTAAACTGTTCCCCCACTAATGAAATCTCAACAGAATAATTTGTTAAATCTGATATGTTATTTAACAATTTAATCAAAGTTATTTTATTGTGTTAAATCTGATATTGATGTGAATCAAGCATTCTGAAATAAACAGCTAGGGTCTGATCTTCCCAAGTGTTGACCAGACACACAACTCCAGCGGGAGATACAGGTGCTCAGGACCTCTGAAAATCAAGCCAATATAGTCTTTTCAATAGAAGGAAACGTCCTTGCCCAGGATCAAATAGAGCTTCTGAGAAAGCGTCCAGTGACTGGTTATCTGTCACCTCATTCAACAAATGGTTTTAAAAAACAATTCTCAGTTCTTACTTTGTGAGTATTCCTCTCCCATTGGAGGTGGATGGTCTTCGTCCCAGTCCACTGTGTCTTCATCTGTTAATACTACAATGTGGCATTCACGTTCTCCTTTCCTGGCACTGCCCACCATTATGGGCAGAATAAGCTCTTCCAGGTAGTTATCAAACTGCTTGTGAGCTCCATCATTAGAGAGTTCATGCAACAAAGCACCTAAAAGGAGACAAATCAAGTACAAATAAGTAAGCATTACTGATCTGCCATGGTGTTTTATACCAAACTGAACTAGAACACACATTTCTGGGGATATGACTCCGTAAGATGGCTTTAAAACCACCACCACCACTTGCCTTTCTGTAGCACTCAATCTGATGATCTCAAAGCACTTTATAAACATTAATGAATAAAGCCTCATAACCTCCCAGTAAGGAAAGTGTTGTTCCCATTTTACAGATGGGAAACTGAGGGTAGAAAAAAAAATCAAGGCCAAATGTTTCAAAAACAAGGCTCCTACTGTAAATTTATAATTAGGCCCCTAAATAAAGGTGGCCTGATCTTCAGAGGTGCTGAGCATGCACAGATCTCTAACAATGTCAATGGCAGCTGTGTTTACTCAGGCCACTTATTTATGTACCTGTAGATAGATTTAGGCACCCAAGCGTGGACTCAATGGCTTGTCCACACACAGTCACTGGGAGAGCCCATAAATCCCAATCCCTTTAACCACGGCACCATTTCACCATTTTATGTAACATACATCCCAACCCTATGCTTTATTGATAGTTATATCTACAACAAACGAGTACCCATCCCAAGGCCCTGGGAACCTTTGACAACCCCCTTAAAAACATACATTCATACGAACAGTATCTCTAGTCCACTTTCCAGATCACAATGCTGGCAACAGCAAAAATAGAATACAAAGTTGATTTAAATTTTAGAGCCATTACAAGGAATGATTTTTTTTTAAAAAGAGCCAAGACCCAATCAATATAGTAAAATCATAATAGAGAATGAATAATAGATTATCATGAATTCTTAGTGAATTTAAATGTATGCATCTGTCGCAGATCCACAGGATCAGTGGTAGGCACCCCAGGTTTCGAACAGTCTGTAGGATTAAGCCCTTCAGTGTGCCTGCCAGACCCCAAGGGGTCTCACTCTTCCTGCACAGGGTAGGTCATGCTATCTCAACCGCCGCCTTAGACTGAACCTCTAGGGCACCAGCACTCCTGTTTCACAGCAAGTCCAGCAGAGACAGATGCCTGGCAGAGACTTGTACGCTCTTCAGGGATTAATGCACCTCACCAAGCATTTGCAGTGACACCCAACAGTCGGGTTTGTTAGTTAATTGGAACACAGCACAGGAAGTCTTTAGGTTACCACAAAGACCTGAAGGTTAAAGCATTGTCCATTCTGGTTAGCCCAGAGCTCAGCCAAGCTGTAGTGAACTCCATTATTCAAGCTCTGAGACTCTCTGAGGCCTGGTCTACACTAAATGTTAGGTTGACCCAGCTACATCAGTGAGGGGTGTGAAAAATCCACCCCCCTGAGCAGCACAATTAAGCTTACCTAACACCCAGTGTAGACAACGCTAGGTCGACAGCAGGATTCGTCCGTTGACCTAACTACCGCCTCCTGGGAAGGTGGCTTACCAACGCCAACAGGAAAACCCGGCCCCTCGGCATAGGTAGAGTCTACACTAAAGTGCTGCTGTAGACAAGCCCTTAGTTCGACCTCCTTTGTGACGTCTCAGGTGAGAGCCCAGACCCCTTCCAGCAGCCCACTCGTATCCCCACCTCACATCTTCCCAGTCCTTTGTTCCCAAGCTGAGGAAGTTTGCCCTGTTTCCCTGCTGGGAGGTAGGGAAATCCACCTGCCTCTGAGCCCTTGGTTACGAGAGTCATGGCTACGTATGCCGGCAAAATTTAGGTTGCTCAAGGTTTATAGAGCTCTCTCCTGTCGGCTTACAGCGGCTACGCGAGCGATCTTACAGTGGCACAGCCGTGCTGCTGTAAACTCGCTTGTGTAGACGTGGCCTAGGGGTCAATGTCCTGGTGACTGGATTTGCTATTGTCTTCTCAGATTTACCATAGATATGGGGTCAGCGTCAGCCAGTCCTTTCAATGACTCATTCAGGCTCAGACAGCTAGGCTTCATTCATACAGATGTCTCAGCGTGCTCTGAGAGCGAACAGTCCTCCTCTCACTAATGATGCAATGCATAAGGGAAACTGAGGCCCACACCAGGGTCACAAAAATATTGCCTCATCACAGCATCATTTCCAGCAATAGCCCTCCAGTATTTACATTCTTGCAATTATTTGCAATCCCACACAAAGTGAAGAGCAAGAACTTGGATCTTGCAAGATGCGGAGCACTCTGGCCCTGGTCCAACAAAGCTCTTAAGCACATGCTTAGTTTTTAGCACATCAGTAGTGCCACCGGAGTCAATGGGACAAAAGTGCTTAAAGTAAATCACACGATTAAATGCTTTGCTGGATTGGGGCCGAAGTGCTCAGCACCTTGTAGGATCAAGCCCTAACTTCTAGCTAATTTTCTCTCCCCTGTACTTACTTAGGTCTTGACATTTGATTGTGTTGAAATCAAAGTTGATACAGAGGTAATCGCACGTATCTCTGAGATCAGGGATAGAAATTCCATCGGGGCAGTTAATGATTCCAGTTTTGTAATAATCCTGTAAATAAATTGTTAAGGAGGAAGATGATGTTTCTTTTTTAAAAAAAATCTCAGGCTAACCTGAAATATTGTTGTTAATTAACTTATCATTCTGCTGGCAGACAGTCACGGACAACTGTGTTAGCTAGCAAAAAAAAAAGAAAAAAGAAAAGAAAGCAGCTTTGCTGTGTAACAGAGGAATTATTCATGCAATTAATAATGGGGTGACTGAGGGCAGAGCTCAGAAACTGAAATGGTATAAAGGGAGGGAAAAGAAGTGGCAACACAAGTTCCGAGATGGCAGATTGAGCCATGTAAGAAAGAAGAGATTAAGA